TTATTTGAAATTAGTAGAGAGCGAAGGAAATTTAGAAGTTATTCGAGATACATATGAACGAGCTGTTGCCAATATACCCCCTTCAAATGTAAGTTTTTTTTATTAATAAAACATGAATATTAATTAATTTCATTAGAATTTATTTATATGTTTATTTTCGATATGTTAAATTAACGATTAAATCCTTTATAACTAATTATTTTTTTTTTTTTGTTACCATAGGAAAAGCATGCATGGCGTCGTTATGTTTATTTGTGGATAAATTATGCTTTGTTTGAAGAGCTAGAAGCTGAAGATGAAGAACGTACTCGTGATGTTTACCAGACCTTTATTTCTACTATACCTCATAAAATATTCACATTTTCAAAAGCTTGGTTATATTATGCWCAATTTGAGATACGTCACAAAAATTTAACTGCTGCAAGAAAGCGAATGGTATTTTTTTGTGATTTTAAATTAATTCAATAATACTATAACTAATTTACATTACAGGGTGTTGCATTAGGTTTATGTCCCAGAGATAAACTGTTTAGAGGCTATATTGATTTAGAAATACAACTTAGAGAATTTGAAAGATGTCGTATACTATATGAAAAGTATTTAGAATTTGGACCAGAAAATTGTGTTACTTGGATTCGAGTAAGTATTGATTACATCCCAAATATATGGGGTGCAGTTCTACGATTTTTAATTTTTTGTAAATTCATATGAGTATTGATTTTAGTTTGCAGAATTAGAAACAGTATTGGGTGATATAGATCGTGCTAGAGCTATTTATGAATTAGCTGTAAACCAACAACGATTAGATATGCCAGAAGTTCTATGGAAATCGTTCATAGATTTTGAGACATTACAAGGAGAGACAGAAAAAGCTAGAAAGTTATATGAAAGACTACTAGAAAGAACTAATCATTTCAARGTAATGGTCTAGTGTATTCATTTTTATKTTTTGTTWACAAATTGAATAACCTCAACTAAGTCTTAACTAAAATAGAAATTTACTTTTATATGTATGGCAGGTGTGGATGAGTTATGCGCAATTCGAAGCTTCTTCACAAGAGGAAGGTATTGATAGTGTATCAGTAGCAAGAAGAGTATTTGAAAGAGGTAATGAAGCACTAAGAAGAGGTGGTACACCAGAAGAAAGAGAAGGAATTTTACAAGCATGGTTTAAATTTGAAGAAGAAAATGGAGATGAAGATAGTATAACTAAAGTTAAGAATATGTTGCCAAAGAGAATTAAAAAACGAGTGCCTTATACTTCCGAAAGTGGAGTAAGAAATCTTTTGGTTTAAATTTAAATATTTGTACAGTGTTATTATATTTACTAATTTGGTATATGTTTAATTAATTTTAGCGAGACAAAGGATGGGAAGAGAAAATAGACTATATTTTCCCCGAGGATGATGCTGCAAGACCAAACCTTAAGCTTTTAGAAACTGCTAAAGCATGGAAGAAAAGGAAATTAGAAGAATCATAAATAATTAAGCAATCAATRTCTAATCTTCTATTATTTAATAATATAAATTACTTATTACAATTTRTTGGTAATATTATTATTATTTTAATTATTTATATCAATGGATCTATGTATAATTTTTAATATTTTAATTTTTCACMTATTAATTCTAATAGTAAGTAGCCCAATGGCTTATAGTATTTAATTGTATACTAACTATATGTCTATATGACAATAGGATACATATTATTGTTTTAGTATGCAAATAAGCTTCAGATCAGTGACAATTTGTATGTGTATTTTACATGAGGCGACCTAATATTAAATGCATTATGTGATTATGTCACTATTGCTCAATATGATTATAAATATGTTAATATATTTTTTAGAATTTAATACCTTTTTATGGTATATGTATTAAATTACGGATGAAAGATTAGCCAGTATCYGATTATGATTGAATCACTATCAGACAAATAACATCCGTGTCGGGTTGTTCACATATCAGTGACAACAACGTTCAGCTGTGTTTGAGCAATCCCCCACCTAGCAAATAAAATAGCTGTAAACATTCCACCTGGTGGCCAAGGTTTGGAGGCGATAGATTTTGATTGCTTAAATTGTCATATTATGTTAGCGTTTAACGTTACATGTTACACCAATACGCAACCATTCTTCAAATTTGTACAAATTCTGAAGTTCTGTACAAAACAAAATTTAATATTCCAAATTTATGTTTATCTAATTCTAATATATTTAATATTAAATATTTGAAATTAAAATTGATGAATAATATTCAAAGTATTACCAATAGGTAAACAAATATTTTTTAATTTCTGAAATTACAAGTTAGCTGGTCTCCATCTCATAAACCACCACTGTAAGAT